GGGGGCGGGGCCGGGCCTGGCCCCACCCACCGATTCCGCTCCTCCTTTGCCCGCTGGGTCCTGGGGTCTACAGACGCGTCCCGAGCAGAGGCGCGGCCTCCTCGAGCCACGCCCATACCCGGGCCACCGGATTACGGTCGCGCAACCTAAAGAAAAGACTGCCGGAGGGGCGGCCCCACCCACCTGACGCCTGCTAGATACAGACTGCCTAAGCGTGGCGGGGGCGGGGCCAGGTGGGACGGGGGCGGGGCGGAGCCGCCCGGCCTGGGGGGGACGCGCCCCTAGTGACTCCCTCCCTCTGGGCCTTATCGGCGTCCGCCGGCCCGACAGTGCAATAGCGATCGCAGCTTTCATCATCACCCGGGGAGGGGGCCCAGCCCTGCCCGGCCCCGACTATCCGCGACTCTGTCGAGCCCGCCCGCCAACCTTCCCTATTCGGGTTCTGTCCCCATTCTCAGCTCTGCTTTCTCCATGGTCCGAGCCCGAGCCCGAGCTGACCAGCCTCTACCCGGCCACCTGTTCCCCTCTCCAGAAGGGGTGTATCTTTCTCCAAGAAGCCCTCCCGGACTGCTGGCGTCGCTGCGCTCTGAGCCTCCAGCTCTGCACGCCACCGGGCCACTTACCTTTTTCCTATGGCTTCATGGGGTTGTAATGGACAGTGGGGTGTCCCTTGCTGTGTTGTGGAGCATACTCGGCCAGCCTTTTCCCCCGGACACGTGGGAGGGAGGGCAGAGAGGAATGTCTGCTCTTCTCCCCCTCCCCCAACAGGAAACAAACCGCCCACGCCCCCAGCTTGGAGGGGCCACTTCAACCCTTCCCAGAAAGCAGGCTCCTCCCGGGCTACTGCCTCCCCCTTACTGCAAATGACTTGACTTCTCCATTCCTTAATTTCCTCATCTGAATGAAATGGAAATAGTGTCTCCAGCCCACTGGGTTGTTGGGAGAATTAAATGAGTGAATGCATTAAAGCAGTTAGCTCAGGGCTTGGCTCATGCTAATTAAGGAGGTGCTCCTGAAGTCCTCCCCTTGCAGCTGCAGGAAGGGGTTCCCCAGAAAGTGGGGATTTCCAGGCTCAACAGATGGGCGGAAGGGAGCTGGTCTGCGGAAGGATTCCTAGAGTCCACTGCCCTTGAAGAAAAAACAAAAACGTACTTTCCACAAATAGGTATTGAATACCTGCTATATGCCAAGCACGGTGTCTAGGGACACAGCAGAGAATAAACAAATGTCCCTTCCCTCATGGAACTCGCATTCTGGTGAGGGTACGCATTAAAAGGGTAACTTATGAAGAAGGCAATAACAGTTACAGGATGGAGGGGGTGGAGACTGTCTTTGGGAGCTTGGGAAGGACATCTCTGAGAAGCTAATGTTTTACCGACAAGAAGGATCCAGACATGATAAAGTGGAGGGAAGGGTATTCCCGATAAAGGAACAGCAGGTACAAAGGTCCTGAGGTAGGAATATGTTTAGTGAGTTGGAGGAAATTAAAAAAGCAGTAGAGAGATCTGCCCTGCCCTATGGTTAGAGTGGAGAGGAAGGCCCTTTACAAGGTGTCTTCAAGGGCTTGGCGGGAGTCTGGCAATTATTTCCAGGGCAGGGGGAGCCAAGAAAGGTTTTAAGCGAAAGAACCTGTTGTTGCCAAGTGTGGAGCTGACACCCCCATTAAGAAGTGTCCTTGTGACGTTCGCACATCTGACTTTGTGCGACAAGGGGGGAAGATATCAAGAAAGTCTAAACTGGCACCCCGTTATTAATTCTCCGTTACTCTTGGGGAGACCAAGGCCGAGGGCAGCACCCCACGCCAGGTGGCACAGATGCAGCAGCCAGGTACTCAGCTTCTGCCAACTGGCTGAGAAACCTGCCAGCCACAAGCACTTTCCCTCTCGCTGCCCAGACAGCAGCTCTGCTGACTTAAACGGGGACTTGCGGTTCTTCCCCTTTTTAATCACAGTTCAAGCCTCCCTGCCTGCCAGATTTCTCTGAGGCCCGACCCGGCTTCCTTCCTCGCTTCTCGCTCAGCGGCCCCACGAGAGCCCAGGCTCTTCTTCGGTGTTCTCCTTGGTCCCAAGACTTCTCACTTTGGGTTTTTCCTTAGAAAGGCAAAAGGGCTTCCAGCGCAGGTCGTGGCCGGCGGGTCCCTCGGTTCCCACGACGCCCCGGAGGCTCCGGAAACCAGCGGGTCCGAACGCCCTTCCTTCCTACGGTGCAGAGCCTGGAGGGCGGGCACCGCACCGACGCCTGCCGAGCTCAGCCCGGCTCCGGATCAGCCACCAGAGCCACGCCGTTCACAGGCACAGCCACGGCTGACATCAACAAAGGTCAACGGGCTGCGGATCAATAAGAAGTGAGCTAATGAACAATCAATATAACAATGGTCAGCCGGTCTAACTAATAGCAATAGTTACTGTGAGCTATTAGGGGATTAAGAGTGAAGATAAATAAAAATCAGGTATTTGTAATAATCAAATCATGATCAACAGGTCTAGGATTATAAATATTAATAACAACACAGGGGTGGGGACCCAGCTCAATGGTGGAGCACTTTCTTAGCATGCCCCAGGCTCTGGGTTTGATCCCCAGCACTGCAAAATTTAATAACAATAATATTAATCCATTAATGTTTAACAGCAATGAATATAATTTTGTATTTAATAAAATGATAGGATGATAATATAGCAGTAGAAGTTTCCTAATAGTGATGGCAATACATTTAGTATAATCGAGCTCTCAAAGTGTAGCCAGTGTCACTGAAGCACCAAACTTGTAACTTCAATGCTAATGAATTAGAATGTAAACGGTCACATGTAGCTAGGGCTAGTATACTGGGCAGCTGTGGACAGTTTAGAAATGTTAACTCAATCATCTCAGCAGCCTGGGGTAGGAGTGTTACTGTTGTTGTTAATGTTATTATGGTCCCATGTCATGATGAGAAACCAGAGTACTGAAAGGTTAAGTCACTCAGGAGCAGAGCCTCTCTCCACCTCAGGGACAGCACACCCTGGCGTGAGGGGGCCCATAATTAAGAATGAAGGCTCTGGGCTGGGGCTGGGGCTGGGGCTCAGCAGTAAAGCACTCGCCTGGCACATTCGAGGCCCTGGGTTTGAGCCTCAGCACCACATAAATAAATAAAATAAAGATATTGTGTTCAGCTACAACTAAAAAATAAATATTAAAAAAAAAAAAAAGCATGAAGGCTCTGGGGTCAAGCAGACAGGTTTAGAAGTCTCTTTTCTGCATCTTGCTACCTGTGTGGACACTTAGACTCTTCGGGCCCTAGTTTCCTCATTTGTAAAATAGGGACACTCACAGGGCTGACCCCACTGGGTGTGGGGAGAATCTAATGAGAAAGTGTATATTAATCCCAGACACAACGGTGCAGCCTGTAAGCCCAGCAACTGGGGGAGGCGGGCGCCTGAGGCGGTAGGAACCCTTCAGCAACTAAGTGAGGCCCAGACTCAAAATAAAAAATAAAAGGACTAGGGGTGTGGCCCAGTGGTGGAGCACCCCTGGGTTCAATTCCTATTACCAGAAAAAAAAGAAAGTACATCAAGAGCTTGGGAGGAGGGAGGAGAATTTGCACACAGCATGTGATCAATAAAGTTGATTTCAATCTATAATTGGGGGACTGGGGTTGTGGCTCAGTGGCAGAGCACTCACCTCACATGTGTGAGGCACTAGGTTCGAGTCCCAGCACCACATATAAAAAAAATAAAAATAAAAATCTATCAACAAATAAAAAAAATTAAATAAATCTCCAATTGAGTGCGAGGTGTGCGAGGGTCATGTGTCCTCAGGGGCAGCCACAGAGACCAAGGCCTGTGAGCAACAGATCCTCACCCCTGCTTTACAAATGAAGGTCAAGAATGTTACCCAAGGTCACCCAGTGAGTGGAGGCCTGGCCCACATCTGTCCCAGTGCCTCTCCAGGTCTGGCCTGCAGGTTGGGGGTGGTGGTGCTGGACTGCCCTGGAGCCGGGCAGAGGAGAGTGCTTACTTTTTTCCATGCCTGGGATTCTGTCCTGGCTCTGCCACTTGACCTCCAGCAAGACTCCTGCCCTCTGGGCCTCACTGTTCTGTAAAATAATAGTAAGCAGGAGAGGAGAAAAGGCACTGTGTTGAACTTCTGTCCTCAGCAGGTGTTCAGTGACTGCAGTGCTGACTGTCATCAGGGGACAACTTGGCACACTGGGCTCTCACTGTTCCCCAAACTCACCTTTGTGATCCCACTTCAAGGCCTGGCATTGGCTGTCCCCTCTGCCCAGAATGCTGTTCCACCTGATGCTCCCAGCCCTCACTTCATTCACTTCCAGAGGCCCCTGAGCAGGGAACCTCTGGCAGCTGCTCCCCACTGCTGCTCATCTGTCCTCTGACCTTTCCTCTTCCTTCTTCGCCCCTGCTGCTCCCTGACTTGCCACTGTAATTGCTCACTTAATCTGTTTACTGAATTTCTCTTTCCGTCCCCAATAGGAGGTCAGTTTTGCAAGGCCTGGGATTCTTGTCTGTGTCACTCACTCTTGTATTCCCAACACCGAGCACAGTTCTTGCCACACAGTAGGTGCACATGATAGTTTAAACATATGTCCCCCTCATGCTGGGCATGGAGGCTGAGGCAGGAGGACTACAAGTTTGAGGCCAGCCTGGGCAACTTAGTGAGACCCTGTCTCAAATAAAAAAAATAAAAAAGGCTGGTGGGCCGGGCACAGTGGTGCCTGCCTGTAATCCCAGCAGTTGGGGAGGCTGAGGCAGGAGGATTGCAAGCTCAAAGCCAGCCTCAGCACAAGCAAGATGCTAAGCAACTCAGTGAGACCCCACCTCTAAATAAAATACAAAATAGGGCTGGGGATGTGGCTCAGTGGTTGATTGCCCCAGTACTAAAAAAAAAAAAAAAAAAAAAAAAAAGAAGGCTGGGGACAAATTAAAAAACTCAGTGGTAAAGTGCTCTTGACTCCAATCCTGAAGAAGAATCTGGTCTAGATTGCGGGTCTGATTGTCAAGACACAGCTCTCACAGCCCCAGCCATAATAACGAAGACCCTCCCCCCCCAAAAAAAAAGGTAGAGCCCAACTCCCCACACTGGAGTGTGGGCAGCACTTAATGACTTGCTGCTGTCCCAGCAGTGGGATGAGTGACTTCTGAGACTAGGTCATCAGAGGTCCCACAGCTGCTCCTGGTTCTCTTTTGAACCATCCACTCTGGGAGAAGACAGCTAATCCTGTCGTGTAGACACTCCATCAGCTAGGACAGATCTTCACGCAAAGAAACTGAGGCTAATGAGGGGCCATCTTGAAAGTGGGTCATCTAGGCCCAGCCAAGCTCCATTCAGATAAGGGCAATACCAAGTCCTTCCCCATTTTTCCTGCAGTGCTGGGAATTTTTTTTTTTTTTTTTTTTTGTATCAGGGATTGAACTCAGGGGCACTCGACCACTGAGCCACATCCCCAGCCCTATTTTGTATTTTATTTACAGACAGGGTCTCACTGAGTTGCTTAGCACCTCATTTTTGCTGAGGCTGGCTTTGAACTCGTGATCCTCCTGTCTCAGCCTCCCCACCACACCCTGCAGTGCTGGGGACTTATTCCAGGGTCTTACACGTACAAGACAGGTGCCCTACCACTGAGCTACATCCCCAGCCCTTTTTTATTTTTTGTTTTGAGACAGGCAACTTGCTAAATTGCTCATACTAGCCTGGAAATTGTGATTCTCCTGCCTTAGTCTCCCAAGTAGCTGGGATTACAGGCATGCACCATTGCACCCAGACAGTCCCAGCGTCCCTCCCCCCCAACACTTTTTAGACTACAACTTCATAAAAGACCCTAAGCCATGACCTGAATCATACTGCACCCAAATTCCTAAAACCATCCTAGGTAATAAAGTTTTGCTTGTTTTAAGCCACTGAGTTTGGGAGGAATTTGTTATGCAGCAATTGATAACCGAGCTCAAGCTGACTCTGGGGTGTTCGCCACCCATCAGGGTTCAAGGGATTTGGGAGGGTTCAGGAAAGAGTACCTCTGGCCTTGGCTAACTCAGGTCTGCTATGGGCTAGAAGAGAATTATGTAACTAGGTCCTTCCTCTTTCTGCCAGCGTTGTCTGTCAGAACTCCCAAGTCGGATTCCTGGGCGCAGGGCCTAATCTGCTGAGCTCAGGTGCCTGACATCTACTCCCTCTGCTTCCTTCCCGGTGGCTTGGGTTCCCTTTTCTGTCCTCCCAGTGCCTTAGACTCTAAAAATGCCACAAGCTGTTGCTCAAGACAAGGACGAATGACTGTCTTTACCACGTGGATTCTGCCATGTGAGCAGGCACTGAGCTGGGACCATCACAGGTATTCTCTCCTTTCACCCCAAAAAGAAGGGTTTGTCATTAATCTCCCCATTTTTCGGATGAGGAAACCGAGGCACAGAGCAGCCACATAGCTGGTCTAGAGTGCAGATCTGTCCGATTGCCAAGACACAGCTCTCAACCAGCTCCTCTGCCCCGGCGACGGTAAGGAAGACAGGAAGAAGGGAATTAATATTTCCTGGGGCCTAGGCTCCAGCCATTGCTTTCAAGGCTCTTTATGGGTTAACCACTTATTTCGCCCAACACCCTATACAAGGAGAGAATGTTGCTTCCCTCCCTTTAGCAGAGGAGGAAACTGAGGCACAGAGAGGTGAAGCGACCTGCCCAAGGCACACAGCTGGCCACCGGCCCGGCAGAGATTTACCCCCAGGCTCCCAGTTCCGACCCTGACCGAAGCCAGCGGCCCCGCCGCCCGCCCCAGCCCGGTCTGGGAAGCTGCGAGCCGCCCCCTCTTCCGCCAGCCCCGGGAATCTGGTTTCTGGGGGAAGTGACTCAAGGGCCTGAGGCCCCGCAGATAATTATTCACTTCCAATCCCGGTAATTAAAGGCCCTAATAGCTCCGCAAAGGACGCACGACCCAGTGACTTGGGCGGACCCCACCCTGCCCGGGACCAAGGCCGGGCGCACGAGCTTCCTGGGCCGCTGCTGGGCCGCAACCCGGGACCGGACGCGCGGCGCGCACGGCTGGCGCGGGCTCTGGCGCCCCCTGGCGGCGGCGTGGCGTTGGGCTCAGGCGGCCTCCTGGGCGCCCCAAGGCCCCGCAGGCGCTGCACTGGAGGGAGCCTCTGCTCCCACCCAACTCCCCCAGGGTCTCGGAGGCTTCCCAGACTCCAGCTGGGGGCCTCCAATCCGCGGGGGATGGGCACCGAGGCGGAGAACACGGGCTCCGGGCGTGGACTCGTGCCTGGCTTCTCTCTTCAGTGTTGGGTCACCTTGGGCAAGGGACAGGGACTCTCTGAGCTTCAGTCTCTTCATCTGTAAAATGGGGATTCTCACTGATTTTTACAGTCAGAGGATGGTAGTGAAAATTAAGTAAAGTAACTCTCGTAGAAGTCCCTATTACAGGGTCCTTGCTTCCAAGATGACAAAATATAAAAATAAAGTAGGCGGGCGTGGTGGCACACGCCTGTAATCCCAGCAATTGAGGAGGTTGAAGCAGGAGGATTTCAACTCGGAGACCAGCCTCAGCGACTTAGCAAAACGCCGTCTCAAAATAAGAAATAAAAGGGACTGAGGATATAGCCCATGACCCCTGGGTTTAATCCCCAGTGCCATAAATACATAATTAATTAATATTGATTTTTTTGTGTGTGGTGCTGGGGATGGGACCCAGGGCTTGTGCATGCGAAGCAAGCACTCTACCACCTGAGCTATATCCCCAGCCCCAATTAATATTGATTTTAAAAATAAAATAAAAAATTCAAAAGTAAAAGAAACAAAAAATGTTCATCATCGCTAGCAATTAGAGAAATGCAAATAAAATGATTCTAAGATTTCATCTCACTCCACTCAGAATGGCAATTATCAAAAATACAAGTAACGGGCTGGGGATGTGGCTCAAGCGGTAGTGCGCTCGCCTGGCATGCGTGTGGCCCGGGTTCGATCCTCGGCACCACATACCAACAAAGATGTTGTGTCCGCCGAGAACTAAAAAATAAATATTAAAAAAAATTCTCTCTCACTCTCTCTTTTTTAAAAAAAGTAAATAAATAAAGATTTTAAAAAATTAATAAAAAAAAGAATACAAGTAATAATAAATGTTGGCAAGGATGTGGGGAAAAGGCACATTCATGCATTGCTGTTGGGACTGCACAATCAATGCAACCCATCTGGAAAGCAGTATGGAAATTCCTCAGAAAACTTGGAATGGAACCCCATCTGACCCAGTTACCCCACTCCTTGGTCTACACCCAAAGGACTTAAAATCAGCATACTACAGGGACACAGCCTCATCAATGTTTACGGAAGCTAAATTCTCAATAGCCAAACTGTGGAACCAACCTAGATGCCCTTCAATAGATGAATGGATAAAGAAATTGTGGTACATATATACAATGGAATATTACTCAACCTTAAAGAAAATGAAATTATGGCATTTGCAGGTAAATGGATGGAACTAGAGAATACCACGATAAGTGAGATAAGCCAATCCCCAAAAACAAAGGCTGAAAGTTTTCTCTGATAAGTGGATGCTGATCTATAGTGGGGGTGGGGAGGAATGAAGGAACTTTGGCTCATGCAGAAGGGAGTGGGGGGGAGGGGCGGGGGGGAGGGGAAGGACATTACCACCCCATATACAAGCGGGACTGCACTACCCCAGTGTGATTCGGCACCATGTGCAGCCAGAGGAATGAGCAGTTGTGCTACATTTGGGCACAGTGTGTCACAATGCATCCTACTGTCCTGCAGAACTAATTAGAACAACAACAACAACAACAAAGAATAAAGTTAACCTCAACCATGGAAAAAAAAGAACAAGAAACAATGGCATTTCCAAAAAGGGCCCTGGCTACAGGAAGTCTGTTTGCTGCCCAAACTGTGCTCAGGGTGCACCCAAGAACAAGGCCATTAAGAAGTCCTCTGACCCTTCAGAGCGCCTGCCGCCATCAGGGCCATTTCTGAAGTGATTTCTGAAGTGCCTGTCTCCAAGGCTCAGGTGCCTCCCGCGCTCTGAGCTCTGAGTGCAGTGTCCTGCTCCGCCAGGGGCTCGGGATCCATCTGAGAAGGTTAAGGACC